ATGATTTCTAGTGATTTCCAATGATTTCTAATGATTTCCGATGATTTATAGTGGTTTCCGATGATTTCTAATGATTTCCAACGATTTCTAATGATTTCCAATGATTTCTGATGATTTCAAATTGATTTCTGTTATTAGAAATCAGTTTGTTCCCCCTTGATTAAGCCAGAATCTATATGAATTTGAAGTCAAGAATTATTTTATATGAATGAAATACTTTTTTATCGTTGTGTAAGTTGACACTATTTCGCTCCTAAATAGCGGGCTTTGCTATGTATTTTTCTATACAAAAGAGAACTAAAAAGACTAATCAAAGTCTCATTTGAAAGTATCGATCAAATTCTTAATGTTTTCAAAATTCTCTGATTAAAAAGTAAATTGATTAGGAAAAAACAATGAGAAGAAAAGTTTCGTCTGCAGCATAGTTTTCCGCTGCCGAATTGAACAAATAACAAAATAAGTTGCGAAAAAAACAACTTCTTATCTTAAACATGTATTCCGAACGTTCAGATCAATTTTTTTAAAACTGTACATAAGAAAATTGACACTTGATTCGATTTTTCACTAAAAAAGTAACTCGGCAATAAAAGTTCTTTAGTTGAATAAAAATATTAAACAATTATTTTATATAAAAAGAAATGCAATTAAAAAAAAAGATTCATTGAAATCATCTATCTTTTTCGATAAAGGAAAAGAAAACTATTTTCTATTGAAACTCTCATGTATTTTACGGATTGATACTGTTTCATTGCCTTTTTCTTCATTTAAGTTCGACCAGATAATGGGATAAGGCTCACCAATGTGGCTCCACTTCGACGATGGATCAAGTCTCTAAAAACACCCGAATCGATTGGTATATATATAAATACATTTTATACGTGAAAATAAATGAATAATATAATTCTCTTGTTTTAGCTCAACATGTAGATGTCTTTGAACAAGATCTTTGTGAATTGGTCAAAAACTTAAAAGAATTTACTTTTCTCGATATTTGTGGCAAAATTCATTATGAAAAAGTTGAACCCTATCGTTTAATGGTTCAAGCTCGCTTTCCTAATAGTCGAATAGATGTTGAAATATCAAGATTTCGTCTTTGGCTTTAACTTTCTGTTCGTTATATGGAACAGTTGTGCATTAAAGACAATTGCCATAAATATAGGTATTGTTTTTCCTTTCGTTCTTTGATCTTTTCTTGATCTCAACTTATGTTGGTTATTGCTGGTCAAGCTCAAACAAACATTATATTTGACCTTGATCTTGTTCTATATTACGTAATATATATGTATCTTTGCTTTATGTAATAAAATGGGCATTTATACGTATTTATTTCGATACGCTTCATGTAAATTACTTGTGTGCAATAATGAAATGTTAAAATCGCTTTCTGAACAATATTTTGTTATTCGTTGGAAAATTCCTTGTAAATAAAACGAAAATGAACTTAATATTAATCTACTTTCTCTTTATTTAATAATTCCTTGTACTTTTTCCCACCATGTTCAGAGCCATCCTTCAAGTAGACAAAGTATAAAAAAATGACTTTTTTACACGTAAAAAGCACATATTTTGACCTATTAAAATACCTTTTATACTTTCGAAAAAATAATGAGTAAATACTTTCTATTTTTTTTTATAAATTCGCTTTTTTCTTCAATAGTATCGAAAATTTTAGCACGTAAAATTAAGCCAGAATATTGAATCTCTTCAACAATGAATTTATGATTTACTGACATAGACTTGGATGGGTTGATTTTG